TGTCGAGCCATTGGCCAGACGTCACGCCCGCGAGTTAGCCACGCACTGCACCGCCGGAACCCCAAGCGCTCTGTCCAGTGGTTACGGCTCTCAGCCGTTGACGAGTACTCCGGCGTCGAGTGAGGACTCGATATCGTTGTTGTCCGGGAATGTGAGCTACGATGAGACGACTGTCAGTAATAACGATGTGTCGGTTATCGAGAAGTTACCGAATAATGCAAATGAAATGAACGGTTTTAAAGGCAATAACGATAAAAGTATAGACAATGACAACAATTATGGTAATAGTTTAGTCTCAGATGTGAATAGTATGAAACTGAGCGACAATTCATCGCAAGTGCCTAACAATTCATTGCTTGGCGTCGATAATGGGAGCGACGCCTCGAGCGTCAGTTCGTACGACAGCCGTAACGAGAATAGCGGTGTGACTGACGCCCAACTCATGGCCTCCATTCCCGACTGGATGGTCGTCGGGGAGAGCGTCCGCATTAGTCCGGAGTCCAAAGTGGGAGTCATCGCATATGTGGGCAAAACGGACTTCGCGTCCGGCATATGGGTTGGCGTCGAGTTGGACGCGCCCACCGGCAAGAATGACGGCTCCGTCAGTGGAACCGTGTATTTCAAGTGTCGACCAAAGTTTGGCATTTTTGTGAAACCCGAGAAACTGAAGGTCGACCAAAGGGGGCGCAGCTTAAGGGCCGCCAAAGCCATCTATAATGACGGTATGAATTAGCGCTGAGTTTTGTATTAAACAATCAGTTCTTATATTTTGTTTGTTATTTGCAGAGAACTCTCAGAACGGAAACCATATATTAAATCAAAATCAATCGAAACAAAGCAAAGGATTGAATGTAAAGTCAGCCAAAAAGACATGAAAATTGGTATCAAAAACCATACATGACTTAAAACACTATTTATGAAGAATATGTGTACAAAAAATGGTGAATTCCTTAGACATAAATGTGAGATATAGTAGAAAATCAAAACTTAATTAATTCAACTAATAATGTGACCAAAAAGTACGAAATGTTACTTAAAAAGTGTTATACAAATGGATATTAGATTTGATACAAAAAATAGTGTTTTCATACCGATAACTATGACCATAGAAATGGGAATTAGATATTTGATGAGTTTAATTGTCTCAATGAATGACTTCCATCTGTTAAAAACTTCTTCCAATTAATTTCAATCAAATCAATGAAAAAAGTGATTTTTAAATAGAGATAACAATTGAGAAGTCAATAAGCATTCATTCCAATGGATTATTTCCACACATTTGATACATGTATTGAATATTTGATGGTTTTGTTTGTGATAAACGAGTGTTTATTTGATATAAAAATAGGTGTCAAAGAAATTTTTACATTCAATTTGCGATAATGTTTAAGGAAAGGATCCGATAAATGTATAATTGAAATAATGCAGAGTTTTATATCTAAATCACACACACATTAAGTCCCACTTCTCATACCTCAACGATTAACGACTTATATATCATTCAATTCTTAATTATTTGTTATTATTATTATTATTTGTATGCAATTTAGTCTATAATTTATTTTATGTTTTTTATAACTATATTTTGATGACAACTTAAGTATAAACGAATCGACCCTTTATTATATATACATTTGGATATAATATATATTTATTATTATTACCTTTTAATCTATTGACAAAAACATTTGTAATTATAATCTATTTTAATGTTTTAATCCATTTTAATTCGTAAGATATAATGTATTATATAATTATTGAATTTTTGGCCCCATTTATAAATATAATATTATTTTTGTGTTTTATTTGCGTTCAAAGTTTAAACGAAGAGTTTTTTCTTAATTTTTAAATCCATTTGTTTTTTCTATTGAATTTGCGTTTAATTTTTCAATTGTTTTTCCAATAAATAATTGCAATAAAATTATTTAATATAATGTAATATAGATTATGATAATTATTACAAATCTAGTGTTTATATAATTATTAGTTGAAAGTAATGTTTTTTAAACCAAGTGCTCAAACTATTGTTTGTAATTAATTNTTCCAATAAATAATTGCAATAAAATTATTTAATATAATGTAATATAGATTATGATAATTATTACAAATCTAGTGTTTATATAATTATTAGTTGAAAGTAATGTTTTTTAAACCAAGTGCTCAAACTATTGTTTGTAATTAATTCTAAAGTTTAATTCAATAAAGTATTAAATTTTATTCAAAACTATAATGTAATTAAAATTTAATCAAAATATTATACTTTTATTCGCATTTACATAATTAACATAAATTATACTGGATATTTTGTATGAACCCAAAACATACGGATTGTTATTTAAAACTTGCATGGCAGTTGTTCCCAATTAAAATCATGTTTAAAAATGCTTAGGTCACCCAGGTCTGATTTAATTAAATTATAATAAATTACACCTGAATTTATAATTTTAATAAAAAGTTAGTAAAAGTGAGAAAAGTTTATGTCAAGAATTGATGTGTCAGTTTGGGAAAGACGTTATTTATAGTGAGACAAACTCCCACTAAAACTGGCAATATTTCCTCAAATACTCCCAATTTCTAATCGCATAAAAATTATTAACAATTTAATAAATGTCGACAAATCGGACATAATTTGATAAATACAGGCATTTGATTAAATTGTGTTAATTTTATACATAAATCCTAATTTATTTCACAAAGTTATTGAATTTATAAGAAAAGGGCACAAAAACAGTGGGAATATGCGCTCACATTAAGCCCTAACACGTGATCGCAATGTTTAACACAAAACGAAATGTAAATAAAAGTTTTCAAATGAAATGATTGTCTGAAACAAAGACTTGATTTGAATCGACAACTCGTGGTTTGAATCCATTCTTCCGATTAAGCCATTGATTGGCCGCCATTTTGGACACAAGATCTGATCGGAAGGGATGGGCTGTCGATACATAGCGGCCGGCTTTCGGCAGGACATGGAAACGCTGTTCAATCGGTTCTGCACTTCAGAGCCGCCCGAAGACACCCAACCCGTGTCCTCAGCAACCGATGGACGCAATGGAGTGAAGACGGAGACAGAGGTGACGGCGGAACCGGTGCTGAGTCTTCGGTTCACCCGTTTCTGCGAGATCTGGCGAGACATGAGTTTCTCGTTTATCTTTAAGTTTCGCCAAAACGATAACGAAATGCGAGAATTTGTGGACGAAATGTATTTAGAAGTCCTCCCGAATGTGGCCGAAGACCATCGGCTCGAGCGCCGCGTCTGCGCTCTGTATCTGCTCTACTCGTTGTACTCAAAACAACCCAAACTCGACGGCCAAATGGCAGCGCCGCAGAAGATACGGATCAACTTCGCGTATTTGCAGCAAATGCGAGACCTGATCGAGACGTGCAAACAATTGGATCAATTGGATGTGTGTTATGTCTGGTATAAACTGGTGTCTATGGGAGCCATCCATTTCGTACACGTCTCGCGACTCATGGGTCCCCTCTTTATCCGCAACAGTCGTGTCACTAATGAAACCCAAACCAAAACCGACTTTCTTATAGACCAGTTTCAGGTGAGGCGTCACTTCTTCGGACGCGTGTCTTGTATTCGAACTCAATATCTAATCCATTGTTCGCATCCCTTGTCTAGACGTCACTTATGGCGCCATTGGATGAGTTGTCGCACATTCACGAGAAATACAGAGCTATGAAAGAGGCGATCGTCGACGAGAGCCCGCAATTAGAGCCGCAGTTCAAACTTGTGGATCACATTAATGACAATGAGTTTGAGTTAACCAAAGCTAAAATGTATAACTTGGCCAAAGAGTTCAGCAATACTACAGTCAAGACATCGACAAACACTGCGGCGAACGACGAGACGGAAGAATGCGATGAATTGAATGACAAGACATACGACGCGATCGGAGAGAAGCGAAGAAAATTGAAAGAAAAGGCTTTTGGTTTCGGAAATGCGAGCAATAATACGACCGAAACGACAGCTCAGACCACAGACGCAGACAATAAACCGAAGAAGAAGTCGACGACAATAGCGGGCAAAAAGAGGGGCCGACCAAAGGTCGCCAGAATTACGGATCAATTGTGATTGAGAAGCAAATTATGCAAACATTTTGTTCATTATTTATTTGATTGTGTGTTAAACTCATTGCTTGTCATTCAATGACTCGGTGTTTGAAATGATAGAAATGTTTTCCAAGTATTGTTTGGTTTTATTTTTAAGTTAAGTTAGTTATACTGTATAAGCATTTCAATCCATTTCGACATTTCTATGCGTTTCAATTCCGGGCCCTAATAATCATTGAATCAATTATTAATTATATATTTTTAATACAATTATAACATATTTTGCATCATTTGATTAAATAAATTAATTATTGAAATTAAAATTG